GCCAGAATTTTTAAAATTAATTAAGAGCTGATGAATCGACAAAGACATAATTTCACGTTCTTTTATTATGAAATGGTGCCTTGTTAATTGGCTATCTAGCTGCTTTTCTTCAGCAATTCTTAAAAGATCCTGGAAAAATTGCTGCCCAGTATTAGACACAGAGGAACAACTAGTTGAAGTTGATGGACCAGCAGAAATACACGAGGTAGGCTTATTAAATTCTTTGACTTCAATAAATTTTTTGACAGTCCCTACTCCAGCTAAGGATGATTTTCTCCAATAACACTCTCCTTCGGTGACTGATGGATGTTCGTTTCGACGATGAATCCACATTAAAAACGCAATACCATGTTTGCAACCACCTATGCAACAAGATAAAAAAGAACATTATAATTCAGAAAATTTTATGAAAAGTCAGAAATATTTTTTCACTAGATCAATTTATCACACTTAGGGCCAGTTCCACAAACGTTGGTTAACTGTTAACCAGAGTTCAGTCAACGCCCTATCTTTTTCTATCTTGTTCTCTAAGAAGAGACAGAGTATCAGTTATAACCAAAGGTTAATTGATCCGCTGTCTCTTCTTAAATAATAAGATGAAAAACGATAGGGAGTCGACTGAACCCTAGTTAACAGTTAACCGATGTTTGTGAAACTGGCCCTTAATCAAATTTACCATTTGCTGCTGCACAATTATGACACTGAACGTCAATAATTTTGTCATTATCTTCATCTATTGTTAATGTCACTGCATAACCTTTTTCTCGTACTCGATGTTCAGGACAAACTCTACATTTGACAGTACAGATTGGCCCATCTCGTTTGAGACATACATAACCTATTGCTTGGTCTCCATAGTTTTCTCGAGATGATCTATAACAAATTGTTCTTCAATAATTTTATTGATAACTAGCGTAATTGCCGATAAGCGAGAAATGAAAACAGTATAATACTCACGTTGCTAGCTTTTTGTTGCGTATTTCCACAGAGTTAAAATCATCACTGTTTTTTATGAACTCACATATCATAAACATATCAATTGTTGGTATATTACGAGCATCAGCTTTGACGAAGCCAGAATCAAGTTTGTTTGCCATTATTGTAATAATAATCAGTAAAGAATCTTTCAACAATTATATACAAACTGAGACACACAGGGATGACACGCAGAGAATGGACGCGCGCGAAGAGGCACTTACATTATAACGTCACACCACGTCTATTAAGCTGACACAGCCACTTTAGCACAATCGAATAAAACATATACAGAAATTT